AAACCACCAAAGAAACAGGCGAGTTCAGTTTTTCCAAAATAAAATAAGTACGATAGGGGCCTCTGACCAGTTGTGGGGGCTTTTGTGGCCGAGCGGTAAACTCCGTATCAAGAGGTCCGTGGTTCAGGCCACGCCCGTCGCGTTGTTTTCTTAGACAAAGAACTTTCCTCCACTTTGTCTCTCTCCATCCAGGTATATAAATGGGTACCGGCGACATGCTGCTGTGGGGTAACCCTGCGATGGACTAGCATCCCGTCCAGGGGGGAGTAGCAATACTCCTAGGCATGCTTCATGATAAGGAAACCTGGATAAGCTCAGGCCGTTTGGCCCTTTGGCTCGTGTGCGCCTTTACCTTTTTACCTTTTACTGAAAGGACCTTTTTTCGTAAGTTTTCCGACTCAGCACGCACGTTTTTAAGACAAAGAAAACTCTAAAATGTCCCACTGTTACGGAATATTTACAACCCGACAATATTTTAATGTTAACTATTGTATGGCAGGGTTGTAAGATTGCATGTAAACGCGGTTTATTTCACTCCCTGGGGTTCCCCGCCTCAATGTGAACAGGCCCTAAGCCGCGTGCAAACGGACGCAACATTGTTGGCCAACAACTCTCAACATTGTTGGATGTTACATGTTGCGTCTGTTTGCACAGCCTGTTGCATGTTGCTGCTTGTAGTTGGGAGTTGTTGCGCAAAGTTTGAAACTGGTCAAACTTTTAGCCCCATGCAAACGGACGGAACATTGTTCCATCAACTCCCAACGTTGGGAGTTGTTGCGTCCGTTTGCACGTAGCTTACGTAAACTAGTCAAAAATAATTCATTTCACAGGTGCCCGCGTTGCATTCCACTGTGATTGCCTTCAAAGCGATACAGAGCGTTTTCGCATGACGCCACGAAGGCCATATTGGTGTTCCAAAACAACGAAACGGCGGCCATGTTGGTGTAGCGAGAAAATCCTTTTGGGAGTTGAACTCTTTTGTTATGTAAACGCTTTCTTTTGTCCCAATAAATTTGCATAGATGCTTGCCACGTGAGTGAAAACGCTCTATGTATGGTAAACTTTCTTTAATTCTAATTAGATGCATATGACCAACAATTTCGGCTAGTGCAATGCTGACTGTAGTTGGAGACTTCGCTTGTCCACTGAACCAGAGTTTATTTACCAGAGGGATGGAAACTGCGGAAAAGCGTGAGTACCTCTCAGTTTTTAGTTTTGTAACTTTCATGTTCAATGAATGTTCTGAAACCATTTTCCGTCGCCAGTAATTACTGGGCACGATGAGTACTTTTAAAATTTCCTCGAATTGCACTGCGTGAGCCTTAAGACGGTCGTAAATTTTCTTATACTAAGTTTATATGGATACAACTGAATAAATTCATTTTCATAAACAGCAGTTATGTTAAGCTCGGAAGGATACTCTCCTTGAAGTCCTTTTTTAGTCAGTCTCAGATATAAATAGTCAGAGCTTAGAGTCTTTCAGCAGCTATCGTCATCACCAAAAACAAAAGAAAGGAACCAAACAATAGAGTCCTCCTGGGGGCTTTATTGTTTGGTTGTATTGTTTCTTTTGTTGTAAGTAATCTGCGCCTCGCTACCTACAGAAGGAACCGAACTCTATACATGCTTGATGATGATGATGATGATGATGATAAACTTTATTTCAGTGTCAGGTCTTCTAGCTGGCCATGTAAGGCCTACTAATAGGGGACGCTAAATTAAAATACTATTAGCTCTAACTAATTAATATAAAAATATATTTACAAAGAATAAAATTTGCAAAAATATACACACTAAAAAGTATCGATAAAACGTATTCGGATTCATCATATAAAATAATACTTATTGATTAAAAGGTATCCTTTTTGTCTAGAAAATGTCATTTATGTACAACATAGAAAGCAGTTTTTACAGCCCTCTGTGATGACTTTTTCAAGATCTACCTTACGAATTTTCTTTTTAAAGCTGTAAATTGATTCTGCGTTTTTGTCAACTGTTTGCTGCCTCTACTTTTCGCTCCTACAGAAGATCAAAAACAGATATGATAGTGTTAACAACCTGGTCAAGTTGTTTTCTTCGATATAATTCAAGCTATACCTTCCCAACAAGGTAAGGGAGATTGAGGATATTGCATGGCCGCGCGGAGATACGAATGATTTTTCTTCGAGTGTTGAAAGTATACATTTAACGAGTGAGCCAGCCGCGAACGAGTCTGAGTGAAATATTTTCTTCATGAGAAGAGAAATTTCGTATCTCCAAGCAGCCATGTAATGTACTACTTATCATATAAACACCAATGAAATACCAAACCATTTCACTTTAATATTTTTTTTGCAACGGTGATCTTTTTACGTGTGAAGATATTAAACATGTTTGCGCGCGAAAGCTCACCTGTTACTTCCTTGGTGTTTATATAATATAATTAGCAATTAATCCACGAGGGCGCATTAGATATTCTTTATTTCTTAAAATGCCGCCTAGTAATTAAATTGCCCGTGGGGGGAAATCTCTATCCCTCATAAGCTCGGCTTCTCGGAGATTTCCCCGCCACAGTCACTCCTCCCAAGTAATGCACAAATTTTAAATTTAATGTTAATTAACCTATTTATTATCGTTTTTATTCTGCTTGTAATTCATTGTGTGTGGCAAAATAATAAAATAAAATAAATAAATAAAATAGATATGAGATGGTAGCAGCCAACGAGGCGCGTAGCGCCGAGTTGGCTATAATCATCTCATATCCAACAAGCGCGAGTGGAATAATTGTTTCATTAAAAACGCCTACAAAATATCGAGAATTCTTCCCGACTTTATTTGTAAAAATAAACCGATTTTCAGCTTGTTTTTAATTTTGAGCAGACGTGTACAGTTAGCATGTTTGGAGAGCATGGGATAATGGCTCATATAAGGTGGTAGCTTAAGCCAATCAGATCTCTAGAATTTTTAATAATAGGGCGTTGTCCCACAGTCGTAGCCTGAGAAAACAGCCGACATTTCACGATGCCACCTCTGGTTTCCCCTCAAAATGACGTCTGAGAAACGGGCGCAGAAATTCCATACTAATGACGCGTAACTACAAAGATCTGGGTAGTGCTTTTGATTGATGGTGCCACGTGGGACATTTGCCTCAGCCAATCAGAAGCACTACCCAGATTTGGGTAGTAATGCGTTATCAGTATGGAATTTTTGCGCTCCTTTCTCAGACGTCATTTCGAGGGAAAACCAGAGGTGGCGTTGTGAATTTTCGGCTGTTTTCTCAAGCTACAACAGTCGTAGCTAAATGACAACGTATGTCCAGCTATGACAAAAGAATTCGCAACAAGAAATGCAATTAAAAGTTGGCCAAGTCTTCTAGGTCGGCGGTCACTAATTTCACGCATTTTAAATTCATTGTTGTTCTTTGAAATAAGCAGATTGAGAGGACTTAATAAAATGTCGGCAGTGGATCTGTATGAATTGCGTTCGGAAAAACTGGCTGCACGGTAAAGTGGTTTAATTCGTCCGCGACCACAGCCGTGGACAGTAGGGCCATTTATACGAGGAAAAATAAGACGCGTCTAAGACGCGTCTTAGATAAGATGCGTCTTAAATAAGACGCGAACTGTACCATTTATACGAGCATGTCTTATCTAAGACGAGAGCAGCTCGTATAAATGGTTCGCGTCTTATTTCTGTTCTTGACTCGTTTTCATGTATATGTTGCCCGTAGCAACTCCAATCCAACGTAGCAAAAATTAACGCATGCGTACTATGCGTTCGCGTCTTATTTAAGACGCGAAGGTCATTTATACGAAGTTTTTCTCGTCTTAGCTAAGACGCGTCTTATCTAAGAACAGGTGTTAAGGGCTGTTCTAAAATAAGACGCATCTTAGCTAAGACGCGGCTTATTTTAGATGAAATGTGCCGTCTATACGGAAAGTTCGCGTCTTATTTAAGACGCGTCCTATGTAAGACGCGTCTTATTTTTCCTCGTATAAATGGCCCTAATGTTGTTTGAATCAAAGAACGTTACGAGCCAGAAGTCTTTTCTTCTACTCATCTTAAAAGGGAAGGAAGACTGCTTAAAGGGAGCTTTGCATCATAAAACTGGTCCAACAACCACGACGCCGAAGTGTACGCTCCTTAGCGTCTTGTTGTTTTTATATGATTATCAGCAACTATTTACCTTCCGGCCAAGTTCAGAGTGACGTCATCTCCAATAAGAATAAACGGGGCCCAGAGTCGCAACTCACTAAACTGTTCAGATTCCCTCATATAGTTCATGGTCCGATTAAGAGCTTCACTCGCACTTCGTCCCTCCACTAAAAACTTGTAGAAACTTTTCATAAACTCCAGAGTTGCTTCGTCGTCAATGGCCCATAGGGATACCAGAACAGATCGAGCACCGGCGCCCAGGAACGCTCTTGCAATGCCAACCACACCCTCAGTCTTTACCTCTCCACGACCACTGTGACAGCAGCTTAGTACAACTAGTTTCGCTCGAATCTTCACGTTTAAAACGTCAGTCATTGTCAAGAGAAAATCTTCCTCTGTGGGTATCGGAGATGATCGTATAGGATTTGGTGCCAAGACAATTTCTCCAGTTTCCATACAACCGTGCGCTGCGATGTGTACCAAGGACACTGAGGAGAGACTTTTCAAAACTTGTGTTTTTGTTGCCTCCGTCCCAGTGAGAGGCATGGTGTTAGTTATTTTTCCGATCATTTTTACTTCTTTTTCTGCACATGGAAGCTGTTGAAGTTTCCTTCTCCCACGCAAAACAACTTCTTGCACGCATGGATCTCCTACAAGCAAAGCTCCAGTTTCCCTGTGATAACCCACTGGACAGTCTGCGAGGATTTTCAAACAATCTAAGGAAGGAATCATTCGGATTCTGAAAGTCTCACAAAGGTACTTTGAATTGGGTGTCATGAACGCAGCATAAGGAACCAACCACAATGGGCCGTCTGGAACAATGATAAGTTCATCGCTGCTTATCAAATCTGCTATGGGACTAACAGCAATGTCATACAAGATTTTCAAAGGATTGTCCTGACGTGCCATTGAACGGGCCTGGGACTGGTCCGTGTCTATCCATTCACTATCTCCTAAACTTTTCAATGAACGATCCTCACATTTCCGACAAATCCTAACACCGATATCTGTACGGACACTTTCCGTCAACGAAGAAAGATAAGATTCCGCATAATCTGGCGAAAAACCGTCACTGATTTTCTTAATCCTGCAAGTAAGTGACAATTTTGGACCTTTTCTAGTAACCCAGGAAAAAACTCGTTAGCCATAAACTGCCGTGAAAGCCACATTTGAAGGAATAGTACTAGATGCCTGAAGTATGGTTTCTTCCAAAGAACGCGTATGTACACTAGTGAAAGGTTCTTCTAGGCTATAGTTCAACTTCGTGAGATCTCGTAATGCTTGTGCACGCCCTTGGTTTGCTGCCAACAAAGCCTCAGTCACCTTGCCTTGTTTCAACAGTAGGAGCCATAATCTAGTGTAAGCTCTTTTGTTCATATGGCGAAAGGTAATCTTCAAGGCATCTTTTAGGTAAATAGAAGCCCTAACTTCGTTGAATATGTTAACGCTGGACTGGTAACATTCACAGGATTCTTGTAGAGAACCCGTCGATTCAAAACTTCGACCAAGACATAAATACGCTTTAGCCTCACCAACCCTGTCACCAACCTGTTGAGCAATTTTTAAATGCTTTTCAAGACATTCTTTCGCCTTTTTAGGATCTCCAAGATCTGTGTATACAGACCCTAGATGTCCATACTCGATCCCTGTACCGATACTGTCTTTAATGCGCTTAGCAAGTTTCAGGGATCGGTTGTGGTATTCTAATGCAATTTGTAGATCTCCAAGGTCATAATAACAGCCACCCAGTAACGAATACGCGCGTTGCTCTCCCTCCGCGTCTCCAACTTCTTTGGCAACCTTGAGTTGACGCTCTAGGCAATGTATAGCTTTTTCGAAATCTCTCAGATGGAAATAAGCAACAGCAAGATTGCTATTTGCTTGTCCCTCTCTTTTTTTATTTCCCAATTTTGCAACAAGTTTTAACTCAGATTTGTGGCATTCTACGGCTTTTTGGAAATTTCCGAGATGAACATAACTACTGCCAAGACCAGAATATGCAGATGCCTGTGCTTCCCTGTTTCCAAGTTCTGTTGAAATTTCAAGGCAGCGTTGGCAGTAGTCAAGAGCTTGATTAAAAAATCCAAGAAGGCCATAAGCATTGCCGAGACAAGAATATGCAGAGCACAATATGTCCCTGTACTGTTCTCCGATTTCTTCATTAATGAAAACTTTTAGACAGTTTTCCTGGTATTTGATGGCCTTTTTGCATTCTCCGATACACTGATAGGCATTGCCAAGATCATTGTAAGCCAGGACTTGTCCAAGCCTGTCATTCAGCTCTGTAGCAAAAGCCAAATGAAGTTCATGACATTCGATTGCCTTCCTAAAATTGCCGATACACTGGTACGCTTTGCCAAGCAAACAATAAGCTAGTTTTTTATTCTCCCTGTCACTCACCTCTTTAGAAATTTGTAAATAAAGCCGATAGCAGTCAACTGCCTCTTGAAAATTTCCCTGACAGTAATGATCGTTACCAAGTAAGTTATATGCCTTTCCCTCTCCAGCTTTATCGCCCATTTCAATTTCGCCTTTTAAATAAAGTTTGTGACAAGCTAAGGACTTTCTGAAGTCTTTGTTTTTGAAATAAGCGTTCCCAAGACGCTCATAGGCAATTCTTTTCAGATTTCTCTCTTCTAAGGTTTCGGCAATTTTTAACAGTCTTTCATAGTAATAGATAGCTGTTTTGGGGTCTCCTGAAGTAAAGTAAACGTCGCCAAGATTTGTGCAAGCCGCAATTTCCTGAGCCAAGTTTTTCATTTCTTCAGCAATGCTTAATTGGAGTCTACAGCACTCAATCGCTTGAGGAAAATTTTTTAAAAGTTCATAGGCGACACCGAGGTTTCCATACGCCCGCCCTTCCTCAGCTCTATCTCCCTCTTCTTTAGCAATCTCTATAGCGTGCTTCAAGTAGCTGATAGTTTCGTCGACGTCGCTGCTGCAGTGAGCATAATTTGCACCTTTAACTGAGGTTTCTTCTTTAAAACTGTATTCTACTTCTTTTTTCTTAGTTTTAGGTGAGAAGCAACTTTCACCCTGTAAAAACAAAAGAGTACAGAGACAAACAATACATTATTGCCATGCATTTATTTTATCTTTTGTTCTACAACGGCTACCTGATTGGTTTACTATTCACTGAGAGCGGTCAGCAGGCGCGAAAATTTGGTAATCACGCGACCGTACACCGACCGACCGTCCGTCCACACCACACCACAGGCATACCAATTTAAAAAAACTCAATCAACAGGTATGGCAACCCAAATGCAATTCGAGGTTATTTTGGCGCGAAATCGCATAGCCACATGCTATTATTATGCAAACGAATATAGCCTGCAAAACAAGAGGGTTTTTTTCGCGTTTTTCGAGCGAACGAAGCGGGAATGGAGCTCGAGACACGCGCGACTGGGGAAGGCGCAGAAAAAATAACGCTTCATTTTTTCTGCGCCTTCTCGCGTCGCCCGTGTCTAACACTCCTCCGGCGCTTGACTTCACTCGCCACAAAAAAGCGAACAAAAACGCCTGTTCTGCAGGCTATAAGCAATACAGAGCCACAAGAAGGAACCGGGGTGAACTTGCACCCGCTGACAGTTAGAAGGAAATCTGATTAAAAGCAAACGTGTCTGAAGTAATATGAGGTATTTGAGATGAGTAAACGGGCAATATATCAAACGGTAAAAAATGATAATATCTCTTTTGCACCAGCATTCGCCGATTCTAATGAACCACGTGAACGCTCTGCAATACATGATAAGAAAGCTCCACATCTGTGCTGTATTCTGCACTACGTAGCAGGTTTTGCATCTTCCGATCGCGAAGCTGTCCCAACTATGACACATTGGTGTCACGCAATAATGATTTCAGTAGTGCAGAACTAGAGAGCCCGAACCCGCCCAGGCAAATTAGCCGTTTTAAAGAGAATTTTAGTACATTAGGCGCTCCTTCTCGGGTGTAATTGTGAAGGTCATATTACCTGCTTTCTAGTGCTTTCAATGATAGCTGTGGTCTTACAGGCCAGCAGGGTTGGGTTGTCTTTGTTGATCTTTTAAACGTTAAGTTTATTTAACTTTATAGAGGATAAGATTTTCTTCCATTCTCTATAAAATCAGAACTGAGTGGAGAGGGTGTAAAAGGGCTGTTCGTGTATTTAGTTTCTTGTATTGTGAATCAGATCATTTACATTTCATTCACAGGGAAAAACAGCTACTTATTAGCTATGTAATATCAAAGAAGTGAACAAAAACGCTCACAACTGAAGTCTCCTGACTCTAAGCAAAACTGAAGCAAATCCAAACAAATCAAAGCAACACTATTTTCTGGAAACCATTTGTTGTTGTTGTTGTTGTTATTGTTACCTGACCCTCTTACCTTTACTTGCTAGATTCTTTTTCTTATTATAGAGTATTTAAGAGTAGTTATTAATTTGATTTATTATTCATTCAATCCTCGATTCTGATTGGCTAAAAGCACACGCATAATTCACCATATCCAGTTTCTGATGACCAAATTTGGAAGAATTTTGTGTTTAATGAGGAAATGACGTCAAAAATGCAACGTTCGTGCAAGTTAAGGCACGTTAACCGAGAAAACCTGGGGACGAGGTTGAGTTGTTTGGGTTGTGCTCTTGAAAAAATGGCGGACATTTCACTCGTTTCAAGAGTAAGAACTAGGCGAAGAAATAACTAAAAACGTGACAAGAACAGCAAGAAGACAACTCGAACGGCGACATCTGCTATTTGGAGAATATTTGCGGAGCTGGACAAAAATAAACGTGCACTATCGAAGATGAACTTAACATCGATGGATCGATGGAGGTAAGCGTGTTTTAGCCATGTTTTTAAACTAGCAATTATTTTGACTGAATGATAAAACAATTATTGAATACGGCTTTCGTATCATATGAAGAATTATGGAGATCTCGGAGGGTGTTATCCGCCAAAGATACTCAGCCTCATTCGTTAATTGTTACATATCCAAGCTTCGTACCAAGAAGTAATAGAATTCTACTTTTGCCTAGGGCTCAACAGATCAAGGGAAGGGGTTGATAAAATCTCAGAGGGTCTTTCTTGTGTTACGTTATTTTTGCTGTTTTGGTGTACTCTTCCGAATGAAGAATTGACTTCTTCGATTTAACTAGCTAGGGTGCTTACTGAAATCCAGAACTAGACACCTAGGCAGTTCAGCTTGAGAATGAAATCAGGATTTTCCGTTAGCTTTCTCTATCGAAAGGACACATCACTACCGTGCATAGTTTTAGGAAAAGACCGAACTGGTTGATAGAGTTCTGGTTAATAGTCATAATAGTGGATTCTCTTCACGAATGGACTGGTCTGACGAGTCAGGAGCGTAGCGTCCACATACGCACATACGTCCGTGTGTACCGGCTGAAATCTTGAAAATACATTATATTTTATATTCCCTGAAAACATTTTTGTCATTAAATCGGGACGAGAGGAGGAAGCTCTCTTGATCGGGATAGATTGATAAATCTTTCAATTTACCCGTCTGAAGGGTAGACATCTCGCCCTTTGCTTGTAACCTCCTTAAAGGCGTCGCTGTTTTTTACCTTTATCCCGTAAACGTTGCACCCTACCGATAGCACTAGAGATGTCGATTAAACAGCTAATTATTGCATTTTCCTTCGTATTTATTATCTGAAAATGGCATTTCTGAGCCCCTGGATTTGAAAAATTTTCCGGGAGAGCATGCCCCCAGACCCCCCCTCCCCCGGTTTGCAGGGAGGACCAACCTTTCTTTCCGTGCGCACACCTTCAAACCTCCCGCTACGCCCCTGAGAGTTCTGACTAATGATAAGGACCTTTAAAACAGACTTTGGTGCCAGTTGGTGACAGTCTTTTGCTGTCGTCTAGAAATTAATTAAATGTGCAAAATCGTTTTTCCCAGAATATTGTATGGTTATTATTTGTGAAAGAAACAGGGCCAACATCAGCACAATGGTTAATTATAAAATGATTTACACATCAAGCACGAAATCTGCTTTTCTTTACAATGTAAACCATTTGCATAGTTTCATTAAAATTCCTTTAGAATGTCACAAAAAAGGATACTTCCAATCCCTTGACACACCAGTTTATGGCTTCTTCGTAGAGATGAAGTTTTACACAAGCACTCGCTCCTAAAAAATAAACATTTAGGGCATAATATGTCGTCCTCGTTCTAGAATCTGATACCCTGTGTTCAGTGGTGTCTCAGCATCCGGCCTGGAGAAACCACCGCTCGCAGGTACGATAAAGTCTCTGACAAAACATCATGGTAGCCTTAACTTGTACAATCCAAGGCCGCGGTCTCTAGAAGTTAGGTATCAGTGTCGTAGTAAAATACCAACTGAAATAGCTTTTCCCTGGCAGCTACACGCTACACACTACAAACTTTATTATTTTTAACAATCTAACCACTCGGCTTTCCTAATTTGAACGGAAAAATAGCTCTGGCATCGTCTTTAACAAGCTCCCAATCAATAGGTAGTATCTACACCTCCGTAAACCTCAAGGCAAATCAACTGAACTGCATGGGTTGGTGAATTATTTAACAGTAGAAATAACAAAAACTTTTGATGAAAAACAAAAACAAACCCAAAAACTCCAGCTCAGTTAATCAGCATTCATTAACTTTTGATACAGATCTCTACTCAGCATTATATTCGTGTGCCATCTGTATGGGCTTTACAATGGCTCGCCCCCAGCTCGCCAATGTAAACGCCCATATTGATCCCCCGCACATATTAAATCTAGTTCTTAGAAATTACTCACATTAACTCAAAATATCTAGAACACAGACTGACCCAAAATGCAAACAAAACCCACCGTGAAAAGAGCCTTTACCTTTAACTATAGGTTTAATAAAAGTTGGTTCCAAATTTATGGCTGCTTTGGCGTCATTCAAGGTTTCCTGGTTATTTCCTGTTGAGGAAAGAGAACTTTTAATTTTTAAAATAATTGTACTTTTATATTTATGTGTAAAAAAAAAGAAGCGCTGGCGCTGTTGGAAGATGGGAAAAATCGTGCAGTCATTATCGCAGCGAGGAAGCAACAAACCCCTATAATATATGTTGTGTAACGGGAAATCAAAGTAACTTTTTACTGTTTATATAGTTAAAATTCAGTGTTCTCCGCATGTGATGGCTGTGATCACGTGTTGCTAGAAAAGGCTTCGCTTTCGTCATTGAATTTAACAGGCATCAAAAACATTGTATGATGTCAAATGAAGGCCTTAAATTGTCCAACTCAGTGCTTAATTGTTAATAAGACGTAGTAACAGAAACCTAGAGTAATTATATAATTGTCAATGTTATGCAATTCACTAATTTTAGCAAACCTAAGCCAGTGGGTACGATACTAACGGCTTTGTCGCAGAAAATCGATCTTTGGGGCTCAATCGAAGCCGCACCTTTTAAAAGTTCACTGTCCGTTGATGTGTCACCTTCGTTCCGGAAAAATAACAATAATAATACATTCTTTATAGAACAAAAACTGTACAGAGAAGGTTAGCAACCTTCGCTCTCTGTTGTGTGAGTACAATTTCTCTGTAATTTTCATTTCCATATCTTTAATCAGGGCCTTGAAAATAGGGCTAGTTCGGTTTGAGGATTCCATAAGCAGTGACCCAAGCTAAATCGTCCTCAATAACATTCTTTTTTGACATCGATTAGATGGTTTAAATTTACAAATTTTCAGTTCTAGTGTGCTTAGCGTTGTTATTGCTGTTGTTGTTGTTGTTTTAAGTTAAATTTTTGTTTCCAAGTTTGCTTCGGTTTCACTCTCTTGCTGCCAGGCGGTTCATTCACGACAAAGTAACTCAGACAATCAAAGTTCTTTTGATTGGCACTTGTCTGCAGTTTTTCTCTTTTCATCCATTCTTATGACGGTTTCATCAATTTTTTTTTGGTTTCGTGGTTCGTCACACATCAAATATTTCAGGTCCGTCTCATTAAATTTCTTCGCGTATGTTAATAACCTTTTCAAAATCCCATAACTTAGCAACTGTAAAATTGATTGATAATGTATGAGGAAAACATGAAAGAAGAGAAAATATATATTTAACGAGTGTCTGTAAGTTGGGTAAAACATTGTTCTCATTAACATACAACTTTCCTTCAATTTAGTTGGTCAAAAATGCTAGAACTGACAAGGAAGTATTAAAATGAACTTTAAGAATAGGTATATTTCATCTCACCAGGCTCCGAAAAACATTCGCGTCAGATCTGTGTGGTATTTTACAGCGGCTTGCCTTCAACTTGTCATTTTGCAAATACCCGTAGAGATTTCCCGACGTAGTTACAATTTTTAGCATGAACTGCGCACATGAACTCACCCAAACTAAAATGAGCTGCTGCTCTGTTGCTGTAGAGCTTTGCATCAAGTTCGTCATCTTCGCAGCTCACGTTAATTCCCTCAGTGTAGAAGTATATGGCATTCGTGAGTTCTCCTTTCCGGTATTCCTTGTTGCCTTCTTGAAAGTACACTTCTGCTATTGCTAAACAAAGATGACTTGAGTTAGGTTTAGTCTGCTATGAGAGCCAAGTGGCGTTTGAGCCATGGCAAGATATGGCATTTCTATTAGGTCATGTTCAGTTCTTGTAAAGTCTGTTTTAAGTGTTTTCTTCTTTTTTTCTCCTCTGTTTCGAAGAGATAGCCATTGTATGGACGTGGCCATTTGCGGAGGCCTAGCCTGCGAGCAAGCCCCTCGCGACTTCTCCGCTCGCTCGCGCGTTCTCGCGAGACTCGTTTCACTCGCCCTAAATAGGACGGCTTGCTCGCAGGCTAGCGTAGGACGGGTTAGAATGTGTGTTAGCAGTTTAATACTGTAAAAACACATAACCTTTTAAACCCTTAACCAAAGATGCTCATGCCTTTATCTAAAGGAAAACAATGAAGTATGCAGTTAAAAGAGAGATTACCGATCCAAAAATGTAGGAATTTCTTACCTAGTATGGTCTCTTTGTCAAAATCAAGTATGCCTTTGTTAGGTGCTGTGACGTTATTTTCGACCGAACTCGCCGCCATGAGATTTTTTCTGGAGTTTTCTCGCCTTCTGTGACTTCTGTCACAATCAGTGTGTAGCCGTCTCTTTTCTTCGGTTAAAGCTCTGTTTAACATACGTCAGAAAAAGAAACAAAAAACAAACGAAAACATTCGATATATATTTGCCTAAAAGTGCTAGAAAAATGTAATCATTTAACCGACCTATATATTGAGCAAACGTTTACAATGTCTTTTAAAGATAGATATTTTTCATTTTACATTTTTTAAAAAAAACCTTAGTGTAAACTAATTATCTGAGAGCAATCTATGCGAAAATGAAACTTACAGTCCCATGCTTATGCGACTTGCCTTTCTAATCATTCTTTTAACAGGGTTTATCTCACGTTTTTCATTTCAATCGTAAATATCCTTGGCAGTAAAATAAGACTCACTCCAATATTAAATGATCGAGCCTATGTATAAGTGCAAACACGGTAGCCAAAATAACTCTACATCTCAGTATTATTAATGTGAATGATACTCAAGGGGTTGTTTATCGTTTGTCTCAGAATAATCATTGTTAATGCTCGCGACGTTTCGACCGCTTACTACTGGTCTTCATCAGCCGATGATGTACTATTTGGTGTGCGTCAGTGTTATCCGTAATTGTTAGTGATGGGCACATTTCGTACCTCACTCATGGGTTTTTGATTTCCATCCTTAGCGTCATTAGTGTTCAGGAATAGCAACTGGCCACTGTTGTACCGATCGGCTGCTGTGGTCAACCTCGTTCCCGAGGTTTCTGTGCGGTGTCTGATTGTGGGCATCCACGCTTCTGGAATCGCAATATAATTCCACTGTCTCTGTTGATGTTGTTAGAGTGAAATCGTATGCGGATAGTCTCTTTTACAAGAGAGGATTACCCACGAGGGTCAAAAGGACCCAATGCGGATACTGCCCGGTCGTATTTATGTGTTTACTGTGTTTAGAAACAGCTGAGGTCCGAGTTAGTGAAAGCTATGCCACTCTCTTTTTCGGCCTCAATCCGTTCACGAATGCATTTTCCCGTTTCTTCGATGTACACTTTGCCGCATTCATGAGAAACTATTCCAACTTTTTGTCCTGAGTCAATAGTATCCTTAGGTAGCGCCAGGTTGGAGATTAAACAGATTCATATAAAGGCTTTTAGAGCCGTAGAAACTGTTCGTTTATCAAGTTGAAAATTGACCGTGTTCGACGAGAAACCGAGAAACCGAGAAACCGAGAATGAATATATCTTTTCGATGCTTCTATTTTTCCAGCCAGCTTTGTACGGGGCTTACCAAATATTAATTCGGGTACGGAAAAAATTTAAAGTTCCGCAGTTCATCTTCTTCAACCTTACCTCAACTTACCTCTTGCTGTAACCGCAATGTATTGATAGGACCTACTGTTCTTGTCTCAGTGAGCAAATACAAAAAGCTCTTATATACACATTTGTATCACGTGCGCTTTTAATAAATTTGGTCATTATCAAATTTCTAACTTCCTGCTTTTAAGCAAGGTTTTCAGATTCGAACCTATTTCGGTAAATATTTGCTGTGAATCGAGTATTGAAAGTCACCTTTACCTGCCATGCCAATCTTATCTAACAACCCACAATCTTCAGACACAGGTATGGCTCCCAGAAACAGAAAAATTGTAAGCTGCATCCATTTGACGCGCTTTGCCAGACAATTTGTAGTCGCTGAATGATCATCAATATTCAATATTGGAGGATGATCCTCCAGGGATACTTTATGACAAAGTTTTAACCATCAAGATCTTCATCAGGAATTGGAATTGTTTTGATCTCTGTTTTTGATGGCGTGGCAGTGAAAAACAAACGTTCATTAAGCGGACACCCGCGGCACTTTCCCTCACCAGTGGTGTCCGCTTCAGAGGTCATAATCCAAATTTGTAACTACAGAAAGTATTGGCAATAGCGGAAATCGAGCCTAAAATGGCTCTTGGTATGGGAGAAAACATTTAGAAATGATCCTATTAGCACTTATGTTTTTTAACGCTTAAAGACGGGAAAAGAAAACGGGATAAATTAAAAGACATAAGGGATTCCTACAATCCCGAGTGCCCTGTGATTTGAGTATTTATTGGCCCGTTTACAGTCATACGAAAATCGTTTGAAAATTTTTGCGCCAGCTACAATTGCAAAACCTAGCGCAATTAGAATGACGCAACGAGAGTGTTACGAAGTTAAATTTTGATGATTCCGCTGGACATACTTGCTAGAAATTATCCCGACAAAGTTAACTTCCAAATTCTAAATTGTAACGCCTTAATAGCGAGCGACACGGCACCCAAGGAACCACAGGACACCCAAAGATAGATAAGTGTGTGCAATAAATATGTTATTGACCAAGCGGGAGGTCAAGATGGCGGGATATTGGCCAAGCTTTTTTTCTTTTTTTTGCGTTTTTATTGACCAAGATTGAGAAACAAGGTGGAGGACCCCAGGTAGGTGAGGTAACCCGCTTAGGTAGGGTAACCCGCCTGTCTATATATAGTCCAGCCATATGGTGTAAAAAAATAGCTGAATTGTCCACTTTGGGGTAAAAGCATCAAACTCGGCACAGTGATAGTACTAGTTGCACTAATTATTTTTAGCTATGGACCCCACTCAAATATGCACGGGGGGAGGCACATTGTGCCCTTGGGGGGGAGGAGTCATGGCCTTTTTGCTTTGGTCCGGAAAAGACTCAAAAACGGGAAGAAGGCGGCCTAAAAAACTTTTGCATCCCCATTTTCTTCAAAGTAGTGCAAGGTAACCCTATAAAATACCTGTTACTTACTTTTCTGAGAGATTTTCTAAAATTATTTTAAAAGGGTGTGTAAGTGATTCTTGTCACAAGGGAAAGCCACGTAGAAGCAAGTTGAGTTCTGAAGGGCGGAATTATTTTGAGTTAAAGCATTACAATATTATACATGCACCCCCTGACACATCAAAACACTTCATTAATATTTTTGAGACACCTCCTGATGGAACAAACAAGACTGCACACGGAAGAAACAAAAGGTCACGCCGCTCAAGGAAATTCTGCATGGCGGACAAGAATGGCTGGTCTTTTTGCTCTCTCGTTTGTGAGAGACAGTATGCCGTTTTTCACCCTTGGAAAGATAAGATGTTTCATTTTTACACTTTGATTGAAGTGAATTGCACTTTTTGGGAATTTAATTGCTCAGCCAAACTACCGCAAAAATAAAACATGAGACACTTACAGAGACCTTCAACGACATGCAACGGGGAGTTATTAACCACTTTTATTGCAGGCGACAGGAGTAGCCCGCAGTTTTCATCTTCAGGTTATTATTATGCATGCATCGCAGGTATGTAGCCGGCATTCGTTTGGACTTCCACTTATAAGGATGAATGGAATTCACAGAAAGCAATTTGATCTGGATCTTCTCTGGTCACTTAGAATCTGATCACGCGTGTTTGGAACGTCTATCAAGTGAAACTTGTGCGAAGCACAGCGTTGGAGTAACAGCGTTTTCATCTTCCATCGTTGTCGCCCTCACTCCGTAACCTTTGGTTTTCTCTTGTTTTCAATATTATATTGATCTCTCTCACACTCTATTGTCATCTTTAAAATTATCAAAAATAAAAGTGCCGAGTTGAGGAAAAAAGGATATCTAACATCAGATGTTTGATAACAGTTAAATAACAAAACATATAAACTCCGACGTCTGATAACAGTTATATGTCAGCAGACGTCTGATAACAGTTATATGATGTCAAACGTCTGATAACAGTTACATAACTGTTATATAACAGATATATGGCTGTTCTATGACTGTTACAACAGCCATATAACTGTTATATAACAGTCATATAACAGCTATATAACTGTTATATAACAGTTATATATGTTATATAACGGTTATATAACTGTTATATAACAGCTTTATAATTGGTATATAACGGTTATAGATGTTATATAACAGTTATATAAAATAGTTATAAAACAGTTATATGACTGTTTATATGACGTATATAGCTGTTATATAACTGTTATATAACAGCAGTTATATAACTGTTATTTGACAGTTATATATGTTGTATAACTGTTATGTTATATAACTGTTATATAACAGCTATATAACTGTTATATAACAGTTATATATGTTACATTGTATAACATAGTTACCTATATAACTGTTATATCACAGTTAACAGTCATATAACACCTATATATGTTATATAACAGTCACATGTTATATAACAGTTATATAACTGTTACAACAGCTATATAACTGTTATTTAACAGTCATATAACAGCTAAATAACTGTTATATAACAGTGATACAACTGTTATATAACATATATAACTGTTATTTAACTATGTTATAAAACTGTTATATGACAGTTATATAGCTGCTTATATGGCTGTTATATAACAGTTATAAGGCTGTTCTATGGCTGTTACAACAGCCATATAACTGTTATATAACAGTCCTATAATAGTTAACTGTTATATAACAGTAATATAACTGTTATATAACATATATAACTGTTATTTAACTATGTTATAAAACTGTTGTATGACAGTTATATAGCTGCTTATATGGCTGTTATATAACAGTTATAAGGCTGTTCTATGGCTGTTACAACAGCCATATAACTGTTATATAACAGTCCTATAATAGTTAACTGTTATATAACAGTAATATAACTGTTATATAACATATATAACTGTTATTTAACTATGTTATAAAACTGTTGTATGACAGTTATATAGCTGCTTATATGGCTGTTATATAACAGTTATAAGGCTGTTCTATGGCTGTTACAACAGCCATATAACTGTTATATAATAGTCATATAATAGTTAACTGTTATATAACAGTAATATAACTGTTATATAACATATATAACTGTTATATAACTATGTTATATAACTGTTATATGACTGTTAATATAACAGCTATATAGCTGTTTATATGGCTGTTATATAACAGTTATATGGCTGTTCTATGACTGTTACAACAGCCATATAACTGTTATA